TATTATTAAATAAAGAACAATTCCAGACTTACATAAGAAGAAACTTTATTTGAAAGAATTATTGCAAGAAGAGAAAAAGATAATAGGGAGTGGGGACTATTTCAACAGGGAGAACTTTCAGACTATAAGGTTTACAAATATCTGCTAGGTCAGGCAGAAAAAGGCTGTTCTTTTACAGAGATGAGTAAGCAAGGTTCATGGAGTGTCTTTCTGCTTAGGACAATCTTTCTGCCTGCCAACGTTGGCTCAGGCTGAGTGGGTTTAGAGCCCTGTGTGGAGGACAGAACCTTCATTAAACTTTGGTCAAATCCACTAAAACTTGAACACATCAGAACACTTTGTTCTGCGGGGTCGGTGGGGATAAACAGTGAAGTTAATCATTTATGAGGGACCAGGGAGCAGTGCTAGAGAGAGTCCCATGTGAGGAAGTGGGAGGCAAGAGCAGTGGGATCAATACAGCTCAATGAATGTTTTACCTGAGTTCAGCCTGTTCCTCTTGGGGCTATTAAGAAGGGGCTATATGCTGACTCAGCCTAAGGGAAGGAGAGATGCTTAACCGAAGTTTGGTTAACAAGGATTTTGTTCTGCTTTATTAGTGGTGATTCATAATTCCACTAATCATCTGTGAGGCAAAGATTAGGAATTTGGAAGGTTGGTGTTTGGCGTTGTCATAGGTAAACATGGGGAGTATCCGTGAGTCTTATTAAGTCATAAGGGGCAAGGATGATACCTTGCAGTAAGCTGTTTCAGGAACGCAAAGGGAGTGAAGGGGTTTCCTTAACACTTGCTGTTTTCCAAGATGGCTTGGGTAACGTTCAGTATTGTCAGGCTCTCAGAATATTGCATCTATTGAAACACATTTTGGCCTCAGCTTTTTGGCCTGCCTTGAGAATTTGTTCATCAAATCTTCTTGCTTTACTGACTTGAAGGGTATGTTGAGGATTTTACCTACTATATCAACAATTCCTGAATATGGCTGCATAAGAAATTCTTCTGGGGAAGTGTTGGAGAGAATGTGGAGCAAATGGAACTCTCATACACTGTTTTGGGAATGTAAAAGAGTGCCACCACTTGGGGAAAACAGTTTAGTTGTTTCTTATAAAGTTAAACATATGCTTACTGTATGACCATGCAAATGCACTTTTACGTATTTACCCAAGAGGAATAAGAGCATATGTTCAAAGATTTGTCTATGAATGTTCACAGAATCTTTATCCATAATCACAAAAAACTAGAAACAACACATATGTACTTCAACTGGTGACTGAATAAACAAACTCTGGTAGATCCATTCAATAGAATATTATTCAGCAATAAAAAGAAATGAACTGTTGATTATGCAACAGTTTGAACTAATCTCAAAGGCGTTTTGCTAGTGAAAGAAGATCGTCTCAAATAGTTACAAACTAAATAATTCCTTTTATTAGACATTCTGTCAAAGGAAAAGCCATAGGCCAGAAATCAGATTAATGATTGCTATGGGCTGGGAGTAAGAAAAGGAGATGGATTGCAAAGGGACATGAGTAAACTTTTGGGGCTATTCAAATTGTCTATATCATTATAATGGTGCTAGTAACACTAATATATACATTTTTCAAAACTCATCGAAGTATTCAGTTAAAATTGGTGAATTTTATTGTATGTGAATTATAACAATTAAATTGAACAACAATAATAAAAATAGTCTTAAGAGCTTTTTTAAAATGTAGATTTCTAGATATCATACTTCCTTAAGACCTTCTAAATAAAATATAGCAGGGGCAGGATTAAATAATTTAATACATTTTTTCAGATGGTTCTAATACATAGTCAAGTTTGCAAAATATTGTGCTACATCATTCATTTGTCCCTGTAGAAAAAGATTTTTTCCTTTTTTGAGGGGGAGGGGCTCTAGAATCAAGAAAAGATATGCTTTATGTAAGTTATAATGATGGCAATAATTAAAATGGCTTACACATATTGAGTACTCCTCTATGCCAGGCACTCTGCTAAAGACTTAAAATTCATGATCTCATCTACCACTTGCCAGATTATATGGATTACCCCATTTAATCCTCACAACAATTTCTTGCACAGAAGAAAAGTCACCCAATGGATTTTTTTGGATGACCATGTGGGTTAACTTTTGCTTCTGCAAATGATAATAATAATCATAATCATTAACTGAGTGCTTACTATGTCCCAGACACTGCTCCAAACATCTTATATGTATTGATTTATTTAAGTGTCACAACTACTCTAAGGGACAGTCACTGTAGTCATTGCCATTTATAGATGAGAAACCAAGGCACAGAGGAGTTAAGTAACTTGCTTAATGTCATACAGCTTCTAAGTGGCAGTCAGGCTTATCATGGATGGAAATTTAATCTCAAAGAACGCTCATGCATGCTTAGGTAATATATATATGTTAATATCACTGCATCCTTAATTATTAGAATTCTGGGTAGTATGAAAACTAAGAAATATTTTTTAAAGCTTAAAAAATAATTTCAGAAAGAGGCACCTGTGCTTTCTGCCAGTCTTGTTCTTCCTTGGAATTAGTGAGAAGTTTAGTAAATGGGGCTCTAATGAAACAGCAGGGATGAAGGCCAAGCCATTAGCCAGAACTGCCTATCATGTCTGTCCTGTGTCTTTGTATGTCTTCCAGCACTTTTCATTCCCTGATGTTTCTTGATCTTCTCTTTAGGTTAACGTACCTGCCAAGATGTTTCACTTACAAGGCCCACAAATGCTGCAGATGCTAGAGAAATCCTTGCGGAAGAGCCTCCCTGAGTCCTTAAAGGTGAGGGTGGAACATTCTTAGGGAAACAAAGGACTAGCAACTGCCTATGAAAGGGGTGGGAAAGAGAACGAGCATTCACCGATCACCTATTCTGTGCCAGGCACTCATCTTGCATCTCATTTAGTTCACATCACCTTGCTGCAAGGCAGATATATTTTGTCCATAGAACCACAAAGGAAATGGAGGCTCAGTTATATGACTTGTCCAAGATCACACCAATAGTGAGTGGTGAGACTATGATTTGAATCCACTATGATCTTCACTGTGTGATGACGCAAAAACATTCCCTTGTGCCCTTGCAAGAATCATGTTATGTAACACTGGAAGTTTTTTGCAGAATTTCAAAGTTCACTGAAACTAACATGTTAATGTTTAATTTATTCTTCCTAAACAATAAATCACCTGATGAAAATTTAACTGTTAACGATTCTTCCTTGAAATTAACAATAGGTCAACTCGTATTTTGTCAAACACCAAAGGATTATGTTTAATTTGGGGTGAGACAGAAATTATGTTTAAGAAATGGATCAATCATCTTGTACCATAGATTTTTTTTGCAATGATATACGTTTCAAAGGGACTAAAATATTATTAGAAGTAAAAAGCACTATTGCATTATAATAAAGGCATCAATTCACCAAGAAGACATAAGAAATGCTGAAATGTATACACCTAACAACAGAGGCTCAAAGTACATGAGATAAAAACTGATAGAACTGAAAAAAGTAGATAAACCCACTGGTATAAAGACTTCAACAGTCCTCTCTCAGTAATTTATAGAATAGGCAGAAATCTTATAATATAGAAGAGCTGAACAATACTAAGAACCAACTTGAACTAATTGACATTTATATAATACTTCTCTCAACAACAGCAGAATATATATTTTTCAAGCGCACATGGAACATTTACCAAGATATACCCTATTTTTAAGAATTTTATGAGAACTGAAATCACACCAAATACATCCTTGAACAATATGGATTAAACTTAAATTAAAAAATTGAAATATCTCTGGAAAATACCAAACTTTAGAAATCATGCAACACACTTCTAAATAAATGATGCTTCAAAAATACAAGGAAAATGAGAAAATATTTTAGTTGACTGAAAATAAAAGTACAACATATCAAAAGTTTTGGGATGCAACTAAAGCAGTGATGAGTGGCAAATATATACCATGAAGTGTTGATACGAAAAAAGAATAATGGTCTCAAACTAATGCTTTAAGTTTCCACCTTAAAAACTAGAAAAAGAATGGTAAATTAACCCCAAAACAAACAGAACTAAGGAAATTATAAAAGATAGGAGCAGAAACCAATGAATTCGAGGGGAGAAAAACAATTAAGAAAATCAATGAATCTAAAAACTAGTGACCAACAGGCACATGAAAAGATGTTCAACATCAACTATCAGGGAAATGCAAATCAAACGACAATGAGGTATCACCTCATGCCTGTCAGAATGGCTGTAATTAACAACACAGGAAACAACAAGTGTTGGAGACGATGTGGAGAGAACAGAACTCTCATACAGTGCTGGTAGGAGTGCAATCTGGTACAGCCACTATGGAAAACAGTATGGAGATTCCTCAAAAAATTTAAGAATAGACCTACCATATGATCCAGCTATTCCACTGCTGGGTATTTATCCAAAGAACATGAAAACGTGAATGCATAAGGATACATGCACCCCTGTGTTCATTACAGCATTACAATAGCCAAGACTTGGAAGCAACCTAATTGCCCATCAAGGGACGAATGGATAAAGAAGATGTGGTATATATACACAATGGAATACTACTGACCCATAAAAAATGATGAAATCCAGTCATTTGTGACAACATGGATGGACATTGAGGGTATTATGCTAAGTGAAATAAGTCAGAGGGAGAAGGTCAAATACTGTATGATCTCACTCATAAGTAGAAGATAAAAACAACAACAAATAAACACATAGAGACAGAGATTGGATTGGTGGTTCCCAGAGGGGAAGAGGGGAGGGAGGAGGGTGAAAGGGATGATTAAGCACATGTGTGTGGTGATGGATTATAATTCATCTTTGGGTGGTGAACATGATGTAATCCATGCAGAAATAGAAGTATAATGATGTACACCTGAAATTTATACAATGTTATAAACCATGTTACCACAATAAAAAAAGGAGTTGAAAAATTAAAAATAAAAATAAATAAAACCTGGTTCTTTGAAAAGATCAATAATGTTGATAAACTTCTAACCAAACTGACCAAGAAATAAAGAGAGAACACACAAATTACCAATATCAGAATGAAATAGAGGACATTACTACAAACCCAATAGACATAAGGATAAAAAGGTCATACTATTATCAACTCTGTGCCCATAAATTTCAAAATTTATGTTCTGTTGAAAGCACAAATTACCAAAAGTCACTAAAGAAGAAATATACATCCTAAAGTGTCCTATATCTATCGGAGAAAGTGATTTTGTAGCTTAAAACTTTCCAACATAGAAAACTCCATGCCCAGACGGCTTCAGTGGCAATTTCTACTACGAATGTAAAGAAGAAATAATACCAATCTACAAAAACTCCTGCAAAATAGAGTCCAGAATTGCCCTGATACCAAACCCAGAAATGGATATTATAAGAAAAGGAGACTACAGAACAATGTGCCCCATGAACATAGATGCAAAAACCCTCAACAAAATACTATCATGTTCAATTCATCAGTATACCAAAAGGACAATACATCATAATGAAGGGGAATTTATCTTGAGAATGCAAGGCAGGTTCAACATTCAAAAATCAATCCGTGTAATTCACCATATCAACAGACTAAAGAAGAAAATCCATATGATCTTCTCTTAATAGATGCAGAAAAAATATTCCACAAAATGTAATATTTCTGATAAAAATAACACTCTCAGCAAACTAGGAATAGAAGGGGATATCTTCAACCTGATAAAAAGTGTACAGGAAAAATCTACACTTAACATCATACTAAGTATTGAAAGACTGCATATTCACCCTAAGATAGGTAACAAGGCAAGGATATTCATTCTCACCACTCCCATTCAGTGTGGCACTGGATATCCTAGCCATTACAATAAGGCAAGAAAAAGAAACAAAAGGAATACATATTGGAAAGTGAGAAATAAAATAGTGTCTATTCACATATGGCATGATTGTCTAGTGTAAAAAATCCTAAGGAGTCTACAGGAAAAAAAAAGGTCCTAGATAAAATAACTAAGTTTAGCAGTCATAGGATTCAAGGTTGATATACAAAATAGAAAAATCAATTGTATTTCTCTATACCAGCAATGAACAATTAGAATTCAAAATTAAAATCAATACCATTTGCAATAGCACCAAAAAGAAAAAAAAACCCAGACAACTACAACAAAAAGACCCTCAGGTATAAATCCTGTTAGTTTACAAAGCTTGCCTTTAAAATAAGTGCCATTTCTTTTGTTGAATCACACATCTGGGCTTCTTAGAGAAGCATGAGTATGATATATGATTTAATGTAGTTATTACACTGATCAAGCTGATGGAATCAACCTGGAAGGAATGACATAATATTCCACTTATTCTTCCTTTTCCTGGTGCTCTGACACCTTGTACAGGGATCAATTGTAGCTAAGCCACAGGCGCTTAGTGTAACTCCGAGTCACTGATCCTGCTGACTGAGGTAGGGTGGGGCACCAGTCGAGGAAGACAGGGTCTGGAGTTAGACTGCTTTGACCCCACAAATTCAATGTTTTCTGCGTAACATTGCCAAAGTTAAACATCTTTGAGTTGCAGTGTTCTTGCATGTAAAATGAGTAAAACCAAAAAGTAAATATTTTGGTAGACATTCCTCAACCTTTAACAGGGTTATCATTACCTCACAGTGTTGTTGGGAGGATTAACTACAATGATAATAATAAAATTAATAGCCAACACTTCTTGAACACTTACTAAATATCAGTAACTACACCATGTCATTTACATGAACTCAAAAGTCTAACTGGAATCATAAAAACAGAGTCACGACTTCTCAATTAATTCCCAGATTTGACCCAGTTTACAGACCCAGAACTCCTTGAATGAAGGGAGATGTGGTGCACTTGAGGAAGGACTCACCACACTGCCAAAATTGCATGCTGTCGATCTTTCTCACAGTCATCTTCAAAGGAACCTACCGCCTTTAACCAGGGTGTGCATTTGGGAAAAAGGAAATAATCAGACATTCTTTTACTAGATGTGGACTAAGTGCAACCTGTTCTACCCTTTAATTACTACCAGAAAGGGTGACTCCAGATCAACCATGCTAAAAATAAAATCCTCTTTTTTGGTAGGCATCACCTAACATTTGCCTGTGTTAACACTAAACTGCCATCAACTGGCAATCCTATACAACAAATTAACTCATCCTACAGATAATGGCCTTTTATTTTTTAAGGAAGAGGATGTAGTAAATAAGTTAGATGCTCTGTGGACTGACATATTTTTATCTTGAGTAGCTACTTTAAAGTTATCCAGATTAAAATTTTTTTCTTGCATGTTCTGTAGGGTAGATCTCTGGGGTTTTAATTGTTCTTCACATCATGTGTTAAGTGGATTCCAACTTTTTTGAGAAAACTCTTGGCACTACCATTAGCCTGACTCTATCGTGAGGCAAAGTAACCCTCAATAGTAGATCCTCAACTTTAGTGAGTTCTCCTCTCCCCTTAGTTGACTCTTTGATGACATAGTTTTTCACATAGGTAGAAATCTAGAATATTTGTATGAATGGCTCTTGTTACAAAGGTATAACCTAAAACTCATTCTCATTCAATACTTATTAAAGTCTCAAGTGAGAGAAATATTTATGTATCATGGCCTGAAGCACTGCCCATCTATCTCTCCATAGTGGACACGGAATAGGTTTATCTCACGTGTTAACTCCAATTCATTCAATTTGTAGTGGCTGCCTGTGTCACTATGTTTTAGCTTAACGATGCTGCCATGTGCATAGAAAAAAGAAGTGATTCCACTTATTTTTAATCTAGTCTATATGAATGTCACTGGTCCCAAACTCCAATGTTTAAAAAATATGACCTCTTTATTTTTCCTAAAACCATGTTTAATTTTTATATTGAGCCCCTGCTGCTGGCAGAACATTTAATAATTTCATAAAAACTCGGTAAAGTCAGTTTGCCTCCTCTTCTTTCTCCGTAAGTCTGACATAAACATTTCATGGCAGGTGTAGGGAAGCACTGGGTGAGGTATGGTCCTTGGTCATGGCAATGTTCATCATTCCATTGGTCCTTGGTCTTTGGTAGCTTCTCATACCATCAGCTGAGGCGTCATGTTTCCAAATACACTTAGGTTCTTAGGTCCACCCTGGTAAGCATTGCTGCTTTTCCTCTCCCCGCAACCACAGGGCCCCTTCCAATTTGGAGGATCTCTCTTTCTCAGCCTCTTCAGTGTTCTTCTTGAGGGCACCAATGTTTGAACAGATGTTTGTGGAAAAGGCTAAACAGATTGCCCAGTGTATGAGGTGCTCAGACTTTGGTCACCAAACCACACTCTGTCTCTACTTATTAAATAAGCAGGAGCTCATTGAACCTCTCTAGAAAGTAATTTGGAGATATGTTTAAGAAAAAAAAAAAAAAACCTTTAAAAGCAGTTGACCTTTGACACAGAAATTCCCCTTCTAAAGTTTGTAATAACAGGCCTATTTGCAAAGGTTTATGCAAAATAAATGTTCCTTGAAGAATAAAGCTTTAAACTGAAAAGTGAGAAAAAACTGAAATGACCAGCAATAGGAGATAGGAAAACAGAATTAGAATCCTTCCATGTCATGAATATTATGCAGTCATTAAAAATGATTATGTAAATTTATTGACATGGAAATAGGCTCATAGTATAGTGTGTGTATGTGTGTGTGTGGGAAGGGATAGATGTTAAACTAATATATATCAGGTAATTTCATTGATTAAAAAATGTGTGTGCGTACGTAAATAAATGAAATAAAATGGAAAGATATAACACTAAATTCTACAATGTAATAGTTCATGATTTTTAATTTATTCATTTTATTTGTGTGGATAGTTAACTATTTTCGTGTGATATTCTCATGGTTTGACCTGAAAATCTATTTCCATTTGGAGTAATAAAGTAGAACGTAAAGACTGTGTGAACTAGGTGTGCTATCAGTTACTTACCCTGATTTCATAGATATACACCTTGTTCTGATGAAACCAGGCACTTTGCTATCCATTCCTAATAAGCCGACCCTCTCACTTTCTCGGGATGCTGCAGGTTTATGGGACCGTCTTCCATATGAATCATGGAAACCCATTCAACCTTAAGGCCCTGGTGGACAAGTGGCCTGATTTTAATACAGTGGTTATCCGCCCTCAAGAGCAGGTAAGGTGCCAGATGTGGAATGAATATGCTTCTCTGTTCTTATTTGCTATATGTGTACCATGCAACTGGCAATGTGGTGGGCTGTGAGGATACAGAAATGAATCACAGTGATGGTGAACAAGTCCTTGTCCTCAAGAAGCTCACAGCCTGGAGGAAAGTAAATAAATAACGACATTGTGTGAAAATGTGCAAAAATGTACAAGAACATACAAGATACAGAAGTAGCACTGACCAAGAGATGATTAAGTCTATAAATGTCAGAGGATGCAGGGAGAGAATCAGACAGCCTTCCTGGTAGACGTTTCACCAAAACTTGGTTTTGGAGATTAGTAGGCTTTGACAGGCTGACAAGAACAGAGCATGCATTCTAAGCCAAGACAACAAAACCTAAAAATATGTGAAGGCAAATATGAAGAATGTTAGGAAAATACAAAGAACAAATTATAATGACTGTATTTGGAAATATATTTTCAGTACCAGACTTTTAAATTCACTCAAACTAAGTGGTTAATACATTTCACATACAAATATGTTATAAGCATATTGAAAAATATCAAGTAAAAATTCCTACATGCAAAAATTTGTAACCATATAGTATCATTTTGATATAAATTATTTACAAATAAAATTTAAATGTATAGCAGTTTTTAAAAAAAATCAACCTAAACACAACACAAAAATTAAGATAATTTTAATTATTGAAATCTAAAAATGGAATAATATTTGCTTTCTTTATGTGATCTTAAAAACACAGATCATCAGTGGCATTAATGCTAAGTGATGAATGTATTTCCATGCAACATCCCAGCTCTTTTACCCTTGAGTTGTTCTCTGGCTCCTTCCTTCATCTTCAAATAATTTCATCTCTAATTTGTTAACTTGGAGAAGATCTTTTTGGATAAATTTTGTGATTCAATTTTGCGGGGAATGTGAATTTTTTTTAAACAACAGTTCATTGTGGTTTACATTTTAAAGACAACATGTCTTCATTTTGCATAGCTTTATCACGTGTAAGTGAAAATTCTAATACAAGGTTAGAGTTGTCAATTTCAACACTGTCTTGTGCATAATCCATTTGTTCTGAGATGCTTTGAAATAAAATAAGATTTATTCTTCCAATGGAAGCTTGGCTTTGAAAATAATTCTTTCTTTCTTTCTCCTGAGGATTACAGAATTATAGAAGTATGCTTTCTAAACTGGTGCACCTTTAGTTGATTTGAAATCGTAATGCAACATACAAATATCTAGTTCAGCAAGTTTTTCTTTTTTTTTTTTTTTTGGTGAGGAAGATTAGCCCTGAGCTAATATCTGTGCCAATCCTCCTCTTTTTGCTGAGGAAGATTGGCCCTGGGCTAACATCTGTGCCCATCTTCCTCTACGTTATATGTGGGACATCTGCCACAGCATGGCTTGATAAGCAGTGCATAGGTCCACACCTGGAATCTGAACCTGCAAACCCCGGGCTACTGAAGCAGAGTACGTGAACTTAACTATTATGCCACCAGGCCGGCCCTCAGCAAGTTTTTCGTAATCACAAATTGAACAATTGATTAAATTCATGACTTGGTCTCATGATGTAAATGATTCAGGAATAATGCTAGAACATCAATAAAGATATAAATATTTAACTATGTAAAATAGCACAGTATAATGAAATACTAAACACAAGTATTCCAACCACTGGATGTAATCAATTTGATTTATTCCATGTTACTGAACCAAACAGGAGATGACAGACGACTTTGATCACTATACCAACTCCTACCAAATCTATTCTAAGGATCCCAGGAACTGTCAGGAAGTCCTTGGCACATCAGATGTCATCAATTGGAAACAACATTTGCAGATCCAAAGTAAGAGATCTGGGATGTGTGCTGGCTGCTGGGACTGCTCACGTCTATACCTGCAGGGTCACTATTCATCCCAAGAACATTTCCCTACGATCTTTACTTCCTTTTACCAAACCCCAGACACTCAGCTTGATTCCTTCTTCATTCCTTGTATCAGTTGCCAGCACCTCTTCAGCAGAGTGGAATTCAAACGTTGCAAACTATGGGGTTGATATAAGGAACTGTTAGCTGAGGATTCATGATATATTTTGCAGACATATTAAGGATTCCTTAAGATTATGTGATTAGGTGTGAGAGCAGAGCTCCCCCTCTGGCCTTCCATGCCTACAATAAGAGTGACAGCTCCTTGTACCATAGAGCACCTCACAGGTCATGAAAACAACTACCATGCTTGTGGGCATGCCCTCCAGAGTCAGAATCCCTCAGGTGACATCCTTGCTCTGCCTGTTACTTGCTTTGTGATCTTGAGCAAGTGATGTAACGTATCTATTATTCAGTTTCCTCATATATAAAAAATGAGGATAATGGAAGTACTTATAACATGGTGTCAATGTAAGAATTAAATGTGGTGTTAGACCAATACCTGGGCATGTAATATGAGCACATGCAAAGTTGGCTGCTATTTTTTAAATACCACTGCTCCTTTCATTTCACGGTGGTGTAGTCGGGATTTCTTGTATTATCTCTGTTTTGCGTAAGAGAAAACATGCTCAGGGAGTGACATGGCTGTGGTCACATGGTTTTTAGTAACACCAGAAGCAGCACTGCCTGGCTTTAAATCCTGCAGATGTCCATTGGGAAGCTTATTATAGCATCTAAATGGGCCATTACTTCTCTCCTGCCTCTGCTCCTCTCTAGGTTCACAGTCCAGCCTGGATGAGGTGATACAGAATCTTGCAACAACTAAATTAGTCAAGGTCAAGCAAACACAACGCATTCTCTATGTGATGCCGGAGACAGCGAGGAAACTGCTCCCTTCCCTGCCAGAGACAAAGAATTTACCTCTTAAACCCAGCAGCCCCAGGGCCATGTGAGTTTGAAAAAAGGTGCTCTGCACTGCTCACATCATTCACTACTGAAGTAGCCTTCCAACTTTTCTCTCTATGTTCACTCTTGCTTCCCTACAATCCATTTCCAGAATGATACTTTTAGTATATAACATGGATTGTGTCAATTCACCAGCTTAAAAGCCATCGATATTTCTCAGCTCACCTTGAATAAACTCCAACCTCCTTTATGAACCTTCAAAGTCCTGTAAGACCTGGCACCCATCACATCACTTCTTAGACTTAATCTTGTCCCTCTTGCTTACTCCCATCAGCAGCTCTGGGCTTCTTTCTGCAACTTGATGTCACACACTCACACATGAGCTTGGGTCACTGCATTTCCTCTTTGTCTAAAATGACCTTCCCTCTGATCTTCACATATTTGCCGCTTTCTTGCCAACCATATTCTTAAATATCATTTCCTTAGGGAGTTCTTCTCAAAGCATCCCATCTAAAACCATCCCTTCTCATAATTCATTATCACAAAACTCAATTGTTATTTTCTTTATTGCACATATCATTATCTGAAATCAGCTTATTTATGTATTTACCAGCCTGTTTGCAGCATGATCCTCCCCTACAATATTTCAAACTCCACAAGAACAGTGACCGTCTTTATGTTGTTCATTGATAGATCCTCAACAGCCAGAACAGAACACATAGTAGGTACTTGATAACTACGCATTTAATGAGTTCACTTCACACAGCAAAAGTTTTCCAATAAAGAGAATTTCAACAAATTATATATTTTCCGCCATTGATGTCCAGTCTAACACCGAATAGAATTGAACACTGATGGTGGAGATTTGATCTGGAGATGCCCAATCCCATGGCCTGGAAGAGATTTATTCACATGGTATCACACTACAACCTGAGAAGCGCCTCCACATCTGGAATCTCATTTGATTCTCTTGTCCAGCCCATGAGATAGACAAGGTGGGACACGTTATCCACGCTTTCCTGGAAGAACACAGGCTCAGATGATGAAATAGCTTGTTCGGGTCACATGGATGGTTCAGGGCATAACTGGGGTTGAGTCTAGAGCTTCTAGTTCCACATTGTGGGTTCTTTCGGGGACACCTCCCGAAGCCCCTTTACACCATTGCAGAAGCCTTTAGACTTCAGTGTTCTGTAGCTTGGGGCCACCAGCACTCCACGTCACTGCCCCCTGACGCCAGCATTCTAAGACTCCGTCATTCTAAGCTCAGGCTTTACAGCTTGCTAACATGTGCTTTTGGGCACTCATTTATTTTCTGTTTATCTGTTTTTCTTATCTGTAAAACGGGGACGATATAAATTCCCCAATCTTAAGTGGAGAGTCACTAACGTTGAGGAGAAGAATACTTAATTTTTATGTAATTCTTATCGTTTGTGTGGCACAAGTCCTAGGCACTTATCATGCAATAGCTCTTCTAATATTCATATCTGTCTTTGAGGGAGGTGCTATTAATTCCCCATTTTATAAAGAAGCAGCAGAGGCAGAGAGACATTACGTTGCCTGCTTAAGATCACACACCTGGTCAAATTTTGAATCCAGGAAGTCTGGCTGCAGACTCTACACCTTTACCTGTGCCCTTATTTTCATGTTCTGAAGACAGTTTTGGGAAAACAGATATAATACTGCACAGTATGTGTGACATTATGAGCTTTTCTTTTCCCTTGTTCTCAATAGCAACCAAGAGATGTTTAAACTCTCATCCCTGGATGTTCCCCACGCTGCTTTGGTGAATGAATTCTGGCAATTTGGAGGCAATGAGAGGAGCCAGAGATTCATCGAGCGCTGTATCCGGGGCTTCCCCAACATCTGCCTGCTGGGGCCTGAGGGGACCCCTGTGTCCTGGTCTCTGTTGGACCAGACAGGAGAGATAAGGATGGGTGCCACTGTGCCTAAGTACCGGGCCCAGGGTCTCATCTCCCATACCATATGTGCCCATATCCAGGCTCTGGACAAACTCGGCTTCCCTGTATATAACCATACAGACAAAGCCAACAAAATTATACAGAAAATGAGTCTCAATATGCATCATATCCCCATGCCCTGTGACTGGAATCAATGGAACTGTGTGCCTCTGTGAAGCAGCCCTGAACACAAGACAGTGTTGGGTGGGCTGGTCACATGGCAGGAGGAGCAGATGGATGGATGAAGAGAAAGAATAAATTGTAACCACCAGTAAAGCAATGTGTGATATTTAGGCTCTGGGGAAGCAGTGTGAATGGTCAACAGAACCACCACAATCCCTGCTCGCAAACCACTCATGGACTTCTCTTTCGGTACAGCAGAACTGGCCCGGCCAGACCTTCCTGTAGTGGACCCTGGTCTTGTTCAGTTTCCTACACTTTGGGATCTCAATGACACTCTATTCAGCTGCATCTGCCCTAATGCTTCTCCTGGAATTCCTATCTCACACGTGGATTGTTGCTAATGGGCATATCTTGCCGGTTTTGCCAAGATGTGGTATTGTCTTATGGGTAGTATAATTTTCCCTCTCTCTTTCCGTTATCCTCCCGTCACCCCCACCCCCCCACCCAAGTTTTATTGAGTTAAAATTGAAAAATAAAGTTGTAATTTATTTAAAGTGTAAAATGAAATATGTATACATTGTGAAAGGATTCCCACAATCAAGTTGATTAATACATCTATCACCTCACATACTTACCCTTTTTTATTTACGAGAATGCTTAAGAGCTATTCTTTTAGCAAATTTCAGTGATATAGTATTATTAACTATCGACCATGCTATCCATTAGATTCTCAGAACTTATTGTTTTATATAAGGTTTGTACAAAAGGTACAAAAAAAAAGGTTTGTGCCTTTTTTACCAACTTCTCCCTAATTCTTCCACATCCCAACCCTGGCAACCACCATTCTATTCTGCGTTTCTATGAGTATGACTTTTTTGTTTTTTTAAGTTCCACAAATAAGTGATACCATGCAGTATTTGTGTTTCTCTGTCTGGCTTATTTCACTGGTTGACAATTTTCTTGTGCATATGTCTAGTAATGAAAATATCCATAATCAATAAAGAATAAAAGCAATACACAGTTCTAGTAGTGTCATTTATTCTTCTTTTCAGCAGCATCATATTTATCCTTATTTAGAATGTGTTCATGGAATATAGAGCAAGAGAATTTAAGTACCTTGTCATATCACAATAGCAAGACAACTTAACACCTTGACATCCAGAAACAATGACATGCAAAAAGGAAATTATATAATAACAAAGTCTATATAGCAAAAATAGTTTAAATTTAAAATTAATCAGGAAAAATCTATAAAACTGTATCTAATTTGTGGAATTTTATCACATAATATTTATACATGCTGTAAGCCAGATAAAAATGGTAAGTACTGAATATATTTTTTCTAAATTAACAAGATAAGAGAAATTTGCCATGTTATCAACTTGTTTCAAGTTGCAGTATGAACATGAGTTCTTTGTATAAAGACAAGACTACTCTGGGTAGAGAGAGCTACTTCAAATGTAACGTTCTATCATAAGTGAGGGGGAGTTTTATAGTTAATACCAGCCATTATTCTTGTACCAAACTGTAGGACAATTTATACAATTTAATAAAAGATATTATATATTGAAAATAACCCTCTGATTAATATTGTATGCTATGCACTAATGTTTTGTGCAGTTTCAGAAAATTAAAGCTTCAGAATTGTTCAGGAGGATGACTTTATATTCAACTTTCTCTTGTAATACAATCCACCACTCTAAGTGTTCAGAAAGTAAGAAAGAATTTTTTGTTGCCATCAAATATATTTTTAAGGTAATGAATTTTTTGTCTTCCTCAAAAAAGGAATTTGGGAATAGAATAGTGCATTAATTTGTTAATGCACTAATCTATTGTGATATATATCTATATCTTTATGTATGTAGATATTTATTCCATAGAGTGGGAATTTTTAAAAAAATATTCTCATGTCTCAATAAAGCTAAACAATGTCAACAAAATTCCCACATCTCTAATAAATTAGTGTGACATAGATACAATTAGCAGAGAAGATAGAAACTAGGGATGAATTAACGGTGGAAATAAACAGAATTCTCCAAGCCGGTAAGAAGCAAGATGACCTCAAATTCTGCTGGTCTAAGACGGCACTTTTATGTGACATCTGTGATCATCATCGTGACAGTGGAATTTTCTAAATACTGAAAATATAAAACATCACAGATTCTAATGATAAATTATATTATCTGTTTATTTTTATCTGAAAATGATTGTATTTTACCTAAATTTTTGAAGGATATTTTTACTGGATACAGACTTATATGAATGTTTTTCCTGAAGCACTTCTTACAATATTGTTCTAGTGCATTCTAACTTGTAGTGATGAGAAGCTGACCACAATTCTTATCATCGTTCCCTGCATGAAATTCGTCTTTTTGTGTCTGACTACTTTGTCCCCTCTTTTTAATTTTTATTTATTTTATTGTGGTTAAAAATAATATAAGATCTTAACAAATATTTAAGTGTATCACACAGTATTGTTATCTATAAGCACAATGTTGTACAGATCTCTAGAACTTTTTTGTCTTGCATAACAGACATTTTATACCCACTAAACAGCAATTCATCATCTTTCCCTCTCCCCAGCTCCTGGTAACCATGACTCTACTTTCTGCTTCTATGAGTATCATTTCTTCAGATACCTCATGTAAATGGAATCATGCACTATTTCTCCTTCTGTGACTAGCTTATTTCACTTAATGTCCTCAAGTTTCATCCATGTCATCACATATTTCAGGATTTTCTTATTTTTTAAGGCTGAATAATATTCCACTGTATGCATATACCACATTTCCTTTATCCCTTCATCTGTTGATGGATGTCTAGGTTGCTTCTTCATGTTGGCTATGGTGAATAATGTTGCAATGAACATGGGAGTGCAGATAGCTATTCAAGATTCTGATTTAAATTCCTTCGGCTATATACCCAGAAGTGGGATTAATGGATCCTATGGTAGTTCTATTCTTAATTTTTTGAGGAACTGTCATACTGTTTTTCATAGTGGCTGCACCATATTACATTTCTTCCAACAGTGCAAAAGGATTACAATTTCTCCACACCCTTGCCAACACTTTTTAGTTTTTGTTTTGGGGAAAAGCTGGAATTTGGGGATTTTTGCCTCCTCATTCTGCATTATGCCAGGAGAGGGGGGCCATTGCCAGTGAGTGCTCACTAGTCCAAACCATCACCTTTCTTCTTGGTGATCCCCAACATGTGTCTGTTTCCTCTCAGCACTCAGAGTCAGGCAAGACAAAAAATAAAGTCGCTCAGGCTGCTCCTGAAAAGTCAGATCATTGAGTATATGGTCTAATCCTCTCCTTCTCTCTCCAGGGACAAGTTGGGGGTTGGGGGCTTCCTTCTAGTCTGAAGTGCTGTGCTGGGGTGAGGGATTATGGTGAGAAGACGCCATATATTTTCCTATTGGCTTTAATGTAGCTGGTTTTCTGCTCGCCCAGTGTGTAAGAGCTTCTCAACTGGTCTCTGGATGTCTCACACGGTGAATTGAGCAGTGTATTATTTTTGAGTTGGTGTGTCTAGGGTTTCCTATTATGTCATCTTACTGACTCTGACTGCTTTTAAGATTTTCCTTTGTTCTTTGGTTTTCAGAAATTTAATTAGCATCTTCCTACATTTGTTTTAGTTTGTGTTTATCTTACTCAGGGTTTGTTGAGATCCTTGGATCTGTAGGTTGATATTTTTAATCAAATTTGCAATTTTTTGGCCATTAAAAATGTTTTGTTCCTATCTCTCTGTCTCTCCTCTCCTTCTGGAACTTCAGTTATATATACGTTAGATAATTCAATATAATCTCCTGTATCACTGGGGGATCTATTCCTATTTTATTCAGAATTTTAGAATTTTAGAATTAGAATTAGCTAAATTATCAGACATTCATGAACTGCCTTGGCCTAACATACTACCTTTAGCTCTCACAACCCTTCATTATTTTTATTCAGAAAGTCACATAGTGTCATCCTATTAGCTGGTCACCAACAGCCCTTTTAACTAGGAACATTTCTAGCCATACTAAAGTCCCACTGTATAAGCTGATCTGGCTAAAATGACTAGCCCAATATACTCAGTTCTAATATCAACAGATATGGGATGCTTATTCTCATCAACCACCTAGTCAATCAGCCCTGACATTACCTAAAATCAGGTGATTTGATGTTCCGGAAAAAACATCAGAGAAAGACTGTCCTTAAGCCTTGCCAGAAGTGACCTCATCAGGATAATTTTGTCTATGAGTACAGCTGCTAAACTGCAAGGAAATAATCCTTGGATACATGTTTCTCAACTAAAACGACATAATCCATCACCAATAGAAGACAATTGGAAAGTTACATCTGTTAGAAGTCTTGAAATGAAATTCTCCAGAGAACCTCTTCAAGTGGACAATCCATAGAAACTGATTGCAGACTCACGATCCCCACAACATGAAGGCATCCACATTGAAACAGATATATTCTACTCAGAACCAGATGATTCCAGATGCATGGAACCACTGATTGCCTCATTTTCCTTCACACACTTTTGCTTTTTATTCCTTTAGTCTTTTTTTTCCTTTTTACAAGATGAAGGTTACTCAACTTTAATTTTCAGTTTAATGTTACATTTACTAATATTAATGACCTAGACAGGGTTAGCCTATAATTTAGATATCCCAAGCTACTGCTTGTAGAACCAATTTAGAGGATTTTGGGATATGACAACAACTGGAAAAACCTGATTAATGGCCATACCTGCAATTAATGCTTCTAAAATACATTTTGATCAAGAATATTCTAATCAAAAATTGTCTTAAAATAACTATAGATAAATATCTAGGATAGAGTTGCTACACCTCTATTTAAGTACCATTACTCAACCTAACCATATGAATCAGTTCAGTCTCAAAAGATATTTTCTCAATTTTCCATGTTTTCTTTTTAGAGATCCTATAAATCAAATAACAAAGAGACTCAACATTTGAAACCATGAATAATTCCTAAGAAAATAAAAAGAATTTCAACATTTTAGGTACAGAAAAAACTAATAATGGGATAATGGTATATTACACTAACCTTATTGACAATGTACCTTTTG